CCTCTGACTCAATCCTTCTCATCTTTTTACTGAAAGAACAGAAACAGGAAAGCCAAGTTCTCTGGCTCCTTCTTACCAACTTTCCCCTGCCTCAGCCGGACACCAGGCAGCAATTCTTAGGCTTCCAGCATTTATTTCAGGAGCATTTGCTGAGTCTGGATTCTTTGCCACTGCCACTTTTCTGACTAACGTCCTCTCTCACGAGCATATGGGGCAGCCTAGTGCCAGCATTCTCCCGGACTCTGCTTAAACTGCTCTGCCATTACTAAAATGGAGAGTGTGATGACTCAGCCCCCTGGAGAGTCAGCCCCTGAAAGTTGGAATTGGTATGAAAAAGCTGCCCCCCTTCTGGTGGCCTAGAGCCTGCTACAGCGAGGCAGCCGTTACGGCCTGAGAAATCACGGTCACATATACTTTGCAGAAACCGTTTGGCCCTTCAGAGCCTTTCTGCTGCAGTGTCACAAATCAGCTGACGTGAACAAGAGGCATGTGCACACCAAGCAGGGCCCGCAGACCGGCGGCTTTAACAAAAGGCCCGGCAAGCCGAGACCAGCCTGCAGGTGCAGTTCCTCATGCTCAGGGGCTTCTCGGGTAACCTCTCCCAGTGACTCCTCCTTGCCTCCTACAAGAGCAGGTTTTATCACCTACACACCAGCCAATAGTACCAGCATTCAAGCAAACACCAAATAAATAAGAGGTAGTGGGGGAGGAAGGGACAAGAGCTTTCCCAAAGGGTGTAAGGGCTCCTCAGTGCCAGCTCTAGATTTCTGAAACAACAGGCTTCTGTTCACACAGAACTTTCTAGGAAGCTTATCAGAACTGCCAAAAGAATGTAATCATGAAGAAACCACTGTTTTTTTAGGTCTTCTGCTTTAGATGCTGAACTTCAGAATCAAAAAGCAGTAGGAAAGTCTCTTGTAAAAGCTTTCATGTGAAGACAGCCAGCGTTGCAGGCTGCATTTTCCCAGAAGGGACAAAACTGGACTTACCTGCAATGCAACAAACTACCTCGTCTCATTGAGAGCCAACCCAGTTATCTGAGCTTCAGGAAAGCAGAAAGTGGTGTGTTAGACTCAGAGATTAAATTTGGCCTCATATTGCACAGGTTCAAAGGACGCAACCATTTGGGGCGGGAAGGAAGAAAATAAAGCTACTGAGGAACACCAACTGGCCCTTGGATTAGAACACACTGCGAGGTAAATGAGAAGAGGGGGTTAGGGGCGGGTGGAGGGGAAGGTCAAAAGGCATTTCGATGCCAGATCCAAAAACCGTTCTGCATTCAGTCAGCTGTCCAAAGGACCTCTGTCCCATTTCCACACATGAACTTGCACTCAGACCCTGGAAATAGGAAAGCTTTGAAACGTGCATTCACACCTCCTGTTCTGTGCCAACAATATGCAAGTTAACACTGATTGACCATCATCCTTAGCTGTATTCATGATGAGTCTCATTGTAGTCCATGATATGTAGCTGTCCAACACTGTCCGGGTTTGGGGGAGATGGGTGCGGGCCATCTAGGTTCAGGGAAGTCTTGGCTTCCACACCCAAGTCTTTGCCCAGTTCTGGCTTTATGCTCTCAGAAAGGCTACTGATGACCATGCCGTCCTCATCACACTGGCTCTCGCTCTTATTACGAAATAACTCTCGGGCCTTCATACCCAGGAAGCTTTTTGAACTGGGAAGTGAGCCCACAGTGGTGGGGATGCTGGCAGAGGATTCTCCCACAGTTGTCTCCCACCGACTGCTGAATGGGCCTGCCCTCTGGTTTGGGGGTTTCTCCGGGGTAGAAAGCTCGCTGCTGCTGCTGCTGCCTCCAGCTCCTCTGCTTCCACTACTGCCGCGAGTGCTGCTGGGCCTGGGGGTCTTGGTCTCACCGTTGCGGCCAGATGCCTCTTCATTGTGCCCTACCATGGAATCTGAGCAGCCGTCATTACAACAGTCAAGCCTGTAAGAAAACCAGGGAGGAAACAAGGAGCTGGTGAGTAGAGCGTCCACATTCGGAAGATGTGGAATTGCACTGACACTCACACTGATGCTGAACTCTGCTAGCCCACTCTCTGTTTCATACTACTGGACTCAAGCAAGAGATCTTATCAAGAGAAACCTGTCACAACTAGGGATACTAGGTGGCAATCTTAAATGTGAACACTTCCTGTGGCCATATGGAGGGACTCAAGGGCAGGAAAAGGAACATGGAGAGATCGCTGGGCGTTTTGAGGAAAGGAACATCAAGAGTGGTTCTCTGAAATGCAGTGAGCTGCGTGCTGCAGCCCTGTGTGAACAGCTGTACTGTTTCCCACACCACGTAACGCAGTCCTCGTGCTGGTACTGGCAGCTTAACCCGCAAGTTCTTTCATCAGTTCTTTGCTCCTACCTTTCTTCTGCTGCTTCAGCTGCTTCTGCTTTTTCTTCTTCAAGTTTTTTCAGGAGGCCATCTTTCTCCAGCCTGCCATATAAATCTAAGATCTCCAATTCGAACACCTGGGTTATCCGTTTCTGAGCCTCATACCTGCTCTCTGCGGCCTGCAGCTGTCCTCTGAAAGATACAGACCAGCCAGAATATAGGAAGTTCCGCTTAATAAAAAACACAAAAACCTTTCCTGATGAAAGTTACCTTGCCTGGAGTTTGACATCCTCTAAATATTTCTTCTGTTCCAAAAGAAGGTGGTCTTTCTTGGCCAGGTGAGATTCCAGTTCCAAAATCCGTTTTTGGGAGGTATCAAGCCTCTGAGTCTGCTGGAGAACTTGGCTTCTGTTTTTCTCTAGCTCTTTCCGATAGGCAGCTTTCATCATTTCCACTTCCTAAAAAAAAAAAAAAAAAAAAAAAGACTAGAATTCGTACTTATAAAAAATAAACACACTGTATCCATTTTGAAAAGACAACATAAGGACTGAGAAGGCGCTTTAGTACACTGATTGTAGAAATAAAAACTAGTACAACTTTCTGGAAAGTAAGCTGGTAGTATTATCCTAGTAACCCTTCCTTGAAATCTATCCCCAAGGAAATCATGTGAAACATAAACAGAGATTTTGCACAAAAAATAATCATCACAGCATATTTATAACAGCAAAAACCTGGAAACACCATTTAAGTCTAATGTCAGGGGAACAGTTAAGTAAATTACAATACATCCTATATTTCTAAGTCTTAAAAAAATGATGTGGTATCAGTAAAAAGATTAAAAAGCAGACTATGGCCGGGCGTGGTGGCTCACGCCTGTAATCCCAGCACTTTGGGAGGCCAAGGCGGGTGGATCACGAGGTCAAGAGATCGAGACCACCCTGGTCAACATGGTGAAACCCCGTCCCTACTAAAAATACAAAAAATTAGCTGGGCATGGTGGCGCGTGCCTGTAATCCCAGCTACTCAGGAGGCTGAGGCAGGAGAATTGCCTGAACCCAGGAGGCGGAGGTTGCGGTGTGCTGGGATCGTGCCATTGCACTCCAGCCTGGGTAACAAGAGCGAAACTCTGTCTCAAAAAAAAAAAGCAAAGACTGTGCGAACAGTGAAATCAACTATGCAAACATATACATATACAAAACACCAAGTGAAAATATGCCAATATTCAGTTATCCTTTCAGTCTAGAGGTACTGCAGGCCACTTGCTTTCTCTTCTACTTTTTTCCGCTCCTGACAGTAGTGCAGGAAAGGCTACAGAATGGAACACCAATGGAGGAGGTATGCTCAAGCAAAGCAGCCTTTGCAGACTGGGTGCCCTGACAAGGTTTGTTGATCCTGCTACGGCAGATGGCCTGCTGCCGACAGACTAAACTAGCTTGAAACCCAGAGCAAATATACACTAATGCTCAGAAAGAAGGCGGAAAGGATATTTTTCTAACAAGCCTGTGTTACATTCGTGTGTGTGTGTTTACTGTGGTAAAATGTACATAACATAAAATTTGCCATCTATATGTTTTTTAAAAAAGATAATAAGCCATAAACAGCAAGGAGACGAGCTTTCATGAAGGTGCCTCTGCCTTGATGCTGTCTGGTAAGCCCAATGCTTCCTTGTTACAGAATGCAACTGATTTAAGCTCAGAACTGGTTCTCAGATAATGTGGCTGCTCCAGCTACGCTAAATGGCTCCAGACTTCAGCACAGGGCAGGTGAATGCATCTATCTGGCCTTTGCCATAAACAATAGGACTTATTTAGGGATAATAATGCAAGGCTTCAAACCGGAACATCCGCCAGGAACATCTGTGTACTCACTAATCCTTACAGCTACCCCTACCAACCATTCCCACCTGATTCCCCACCACTCACTCTTCCTCCTCCTCTGGATGCAACAAGAGCAACCCTAGCTCCAGGTTCAGGGGCAAATCCTGACTGGGTCAAGGCATTAACTAGGCCAGGCTAGGGATGGGCACAGGACAGGCTTGGCCAACAGGGGAGATGAGAAGTATGGTGGAAGCGTCTGGGAAAGTTTTTTTTTTTCTTTTTTTCTTTTTTTTTGAGACGGAGTTTCGCTCTTGTTACCCAGGCTGGAGTGCAATGGCGCGATCTCGGCTCACCGCAACCTCCGTCTCCTGGGTTCAGGCAATTCTCCTGCCTCAGCCTCCTGTTTTTTTGTTTTTTTTTTTAAGACAGAGTCTCGCTCTGTCGCCTGATTGCGCCCAGGATGGAGTGCAGTGGCGCGATCTCAGCTCACTGCTACTTCTGCCTCCTGACTTCAAGTGATTCTCCTACCTCAGCCTCCCAAGCAGCTGGGACTACAGGCATGTGCCACCGCATCCAGCTAATTTTTTATATTTTAGTAGAGACAGGGTTTCACCATGTTGGCCAGGATGGTCCTGATCTTCTGACCTCATGATTTGCCTGCCTCGGCCTCCCAAAGTGCTGGGATTACAGGCATGAGCCACTGTGCCTGGCCTGGGAAAGGTTTTCTTGCTGAGAAAGAAACAGGAAGAGACGCTCTCCTCCTCTGTGGGACATCATGTCTGCCTGTGGCACATACCCGGCAACCATAAGTACAGGCAGCTGGAGGACAAGGCCTACAGGAGAAGCAAGGCAGTACAAAAGAGTGGAAAGAGCCCGGCTCCTTGATGCTGCCCCTGAATGCCCAACTTGACCAACCTGGAACTCACCTGCCTCAGGACCTCTTGTCAAGTAATCACTAAAATTCTTCACTCTTAGGCCGGTTTAGTGTTTTTTGTTTTTGTGTGTGTGTGTGTTTTTTTGGAGATGAAGTCTTTTTTTTTTTTTTTTTTTTTTTTTTTTGAGACAGAGTCTTACTCTGTCACCTAGGCTGGAGTGCAACTGTGCAATCTTGGCTCACTGCAACCTCCGCCTCCCAGGTTCAAGCAATTCTCTGCCTCAGGCTTCTGAATAGCTGGGATTACAGGCTCCTGCCACCGCGCCTGGCCGATTTTTATATTTTTAGGAGAGACGGGGTTTCACCATCTTGGCCAGGCTGGTCTTGAACTCCTGACCTTGTGATCCGCCTGCCTCAGCCTCCCAAAGTGCTGGGATTACAGGCATGAGCCATCAGGCCTGGCTGGTCTAGAACTTCAGAGCTCAAGCAATCCTCCTATTTCAGCCTCCCAAGTAGTTGGCACTATAGGTGTGTGCCACTGGGCCCAGCCGTAGTTTGGTTTTTGTTGTCTACAACTGAGAGCATCCTGACTATCACAACTCAGCTGCATCACCCCTGTTTTATGAACTGGGAAACAGGGCCTGAAGGAGACGTGGCTACTCAAGGTCCCAAAGAGCGCAAGCCATCTAGGCTGCTCTCAGGAGATGGCACGGGCGTGTCTCAGCAGCGTTCTCTTGTGCCTTGGATCTGTTTTTCTCCCTTTCTGTTCCCAAAGCCATTACACCAAAAATAAGTGATAGCTACTTTCTAGAGACAGTCCCACATCTAACATCCTTCTAAAAAAGGAAGTCTGTATCTGTGAGCTGAGAGGAGCCAAGAAATAAAGAGCAACTCTATTTGGAAAATTACTATCTCTAGTTCTAAGACTCTTCTCTACATCCGGCCAAAAAAGACTCTTTACAAAGCATGCCCAAGAAACCTAAAAAGAAGGCCCATGTGTGATGGAAAAGTTAGTGACAGGAAGCATCTGAGCAGCTACTATTAAAATTCAATTCCCAACTCATTCACTAACATTACCTGAGGCTATTTATAAAGTGAGTTAAAACTTCTGCCTCCATGCCACTGGTGAGGCACTAATTAACGTAAGATCATCCCATTGCTGGCCTTGTTGCCAGGACTGAACTACCATCTGCAGAAATCCAACATTAAAAGGAAAAAAAAAACTGGTATGTAGACCAGGCTATACCCATGGTCCTGAGAGGTAGGGTTAAGCACAATTGGTTCCCCATCCTTTTTTCCTCTCCCCCTTTTAAAGGGCGCATAGGGAAGAGAAAGGAAACACTTCACACCTACTCTGTACCAATTACTATTAAGTGCTTTCGCTTAACTTCAAAGCAACCCAGTAAGGAGAAACAAGCTCACATGGTGGCTGGAAAGTGCTTGCAGAGCTGGACCAGGGAGAAGTGGGACTGCCACTCTGTCTTTTAAGAAACAAGTCATAAAGCCATTCTAAATGACATGCCGGAGACTTACTCTCTGGGTCTGAAAAGCTTTCCCCACTAAGGTCTGGTTCCCCCAGCCCTGGCATACCTTTGTGGTATCTGAGTGCTTGTTCTGCAGTTGTTCCAAATATAGCTCGTTGACCTCCCCAAGAACCAACAGCTGTCTGTTCAAGAACTCCATCTGCTGCTGGACCGACTCGCTGTTTGAGAGCTAAGCAAAAACATAAGCAAAGTGAAAAATCTGACGACATAAGACTAGCACATGGGCATTAAACAGGGAACCAGCTAGGAGCACAATATTTCAATGTTACGGCAAAATGACCAAGTCCCAGGGTTTACGGTCCACGACAGGTGGAGAGCTTGGCACCCAAGGACAAAGATAGACGGCAATGCACTTCAGAACTGTGCTCTGCAAAGGGGAAGCAGCACAAATGCAGTCCATCAAAACTGACCACCCACAGAACACCTGGAGCAGGTAGACAGGTATATGACCAAAGTCCAGTGGGATAAACCCTAGGGAAAACTCACTGTTCTCGAGTAAAGGATGTAAAAAGTGCAATGATTCCCAAAGAAGGAGGACTCACACTCAAAAACCCGAACAAACTTTTTACATTGATGTAAATGAGGTATGAAGAAAGAGTTCCATGGGATACAAATAGACCAGTGTTTAGAATAGATACTTCTTTGCTGCAGGGGCTGCCTGGGCACTGTAGGATATTTGGCAGCATCCTGGCTCCTACCCACTAGATGCCAGTAGCACCAAAAACATCAACCTAAAATGTCTTCAGACATTGCCAAATGTCAGGGAATATGAACCCATGACACAGTCATCACAGATTTCTTCCTCCTGTCTGAAGGAAGAATGTTAGCACACGGTGTTGGAGCAGACTCAGGTCTGCCTCACTTCTTACCTTTTGAGAAACCTGGCTGAGCAGCAGCTCAGTGTGACACACCTTGTTGTTGGCCTTCTTCAATTCTAGCCGCAGCTCTGTGATCATGTTCCTGCAGTCCTCCAGCTTGGTCTACCCAAAGAGATGTGGACATGAAGTTTCAGGAGCACTGACAGGCCAGATCACAAGCCTACCTGGCCACCAGCCCACAGAGAACTGGGAACGCCTAGCTCATCGACTCTACTATTCTTGGGCCCTCAGGATTTGACGTCTTAGTTTTAAAAAATAAGTTATGGTTGATTTCTGAGTGCCTCACTGTTTAACAAAAGAAAAAAAGAGACCTTAGATCCTCAGTTCCCAAACTGTGCACCAAAGAGCCCTGAGGCAAACTCACAGGGATGCTGCAGAGATTTTAAATTTTCGAGGGAGACACATCGCCATCTGTTGGACACCCTGTGAATTACTAACTGGCTGGAGATGATGCTGCATGTCTGTGGATGAAGCTGGGTTTTTTTGGTTGCAGTGATACAAAGTACCACAAGGAAAACCAATGTGAAACAGGAAATGAGGGTGTCACTGTCCACTCTGATTTCAAGGTCTGAGACGCCATGCAGTGCCCAATAGGTGCACTCAAAGCATTAGTAATTGCAGTTTTTTTTTTTTTTTTTTTTTAATTTATGTGTATTATCTTCAAACAGCTACTAAGTTCTTGGGACATTAATACTCACTAAGTTATTCAGATCTACTTAATGAGCAGAACCGTTAAGCGTTTCTTTTTGGCTGCACAAAAAAAATTACTGAGACACTAAGGGAGCTATTACATGAACCAAGAAAGTTGGGGAACCTCTGCCCTAAGAAAAATTCACCTGCCATGAAGAATCTCTGCCATGATTTCAGAGAGGAGAGCATTCAGCTTAGTGAAGCTGAACAAGTCCAGGACACCCAAGGAAACCCGCTGCCTCCCTCCCCACTGCTCTCCAGCATTCTCGCGGTTGACTCTGCCTAGTGGTGCAGTTTATACCTGTAATTCCTGGCTCTGGTTGTAGAATTCCTCTCGGTCATGCTGCAGCTGTCGGATCTGGCTGTGGAGCTTGGTTACCATAGTGTCACGCTGCTCCTGAAGCTGACTGTATCTAGCTTGTTCTTTCTGCAGGCTAACTTTCCACATCTGGATGTCTTTCTCTTGTAACTTCAACTGATCTTTCTAGCAGAGACCAGAAATGTCATCATTTTAGCTGTCTTCCAACACAGGCAATTTAATACACACTGCAAACATTTCATCTGAACTACCCTGACAATGTAAAACTACAGACCCAAACTCAGAGCCCACTACTGTCTTACTTGGCTTTAGGTCAAGGTTTTCCAAATTTTGCATTAAGCAAATGGATCTTAAGTTGCTTAAAGAAATCTTCTCAGGGATCAAATTGCTTCCAACACTTTCCAAAGTCTGACTACCAACAATGGAATAAAATCTCTCATACATGGTACTAAGTTCACTAAATGATGAGCATTTACTGAATGCTTGCAGTGTGCTGGGCACTGAGCAAGTGCTTACCGACATCATTTCTTTAAACCATCGCCACTTAAAGAGTAGGTGCTGCTATGATCACTTCCATTTTATAGCATGGCTAAGAGAGGCTTCAAGAGGCTGTTACTTTTCTAAGGTAACACTGGTAGAGCCGAAATTCAAACTCCAGGTCTGACTGGCTTCACACCCACAGTACAATACACACTTCTGTTCTATGCCATGAAATAGCTTTACGAGAGTTAGTTTTACATCTGGAAAAATAAAATCATCTTCTGACCCTTCATCATCATGGCCAATTACATGCAAACACACACACACACAAAATCACTTGTCTCCATGATTTCTGAGAATTATGAAGGAATTCCGAGACGTAACCATTCATGTCTTAATCTCAAGTGACCTGCCTGAAGGATTGGGAAGGACTGGGAACTCTGACCTCCTCAGCTTTATAAGCTATCAAGCTGACCCAAAATAAAAAGTGAGCTCCACCTGCCCCTCCCCAGTCCTCACCATGGCAGCATTATGTTCCTCCAGAGCTGCTGCTTTGATCACCTTGCGGAGGAGCCGCCTGTTCCGCAGGGCATGCTGCTGCCTCTTAAAACGCTCATAGAGTAGCTGGTTGTGCAGTAAAAGCAACTGGTCTCGGAGGGTGCGGATCTCATCTGAAGGAGGAGAGCCTGATTTTAAAGCAGAGGGAGGGTGGCAGAAATGCCTTTCACAGATTGTTCAGTCAAGCCCCCTTCCCATGTGTTGTTAGCTTAACAAACACAATTCTTTAAAACAAATCACCACTCTCTTGGCAAATGACCACTTGGCTGCCAGTAACAGGAGGGGGAAGGTATGGACTATGTGTCTCCCTTGTTAAGGAATGCAAAGGGTTGTATCACGTGGGATGACTCTTTGAGAGCTTGCTTTCTTTTCCCCACAAATCTAGATCACACATTTCAGATGCCCTTTCTACTTCTCAAGGCCCTTTCTGCACTGGTGCGTTGTCCCCCAGGAAGACTCAGCTGCACCGCCCACCCCACTTGGGTCTTTTCTAGGGAAGCCTGGCATGAAGTCTGTACTGTGTGTACTTCTTCTCTCAAGTGCATGCTACTTGCCACTTTTCAAAAATAAGAAATGCTGACTTTGCAACACTGGAGATCTTTTAGCCAGGCAGATAGCCTGGCTGGAGCAACAGCCAAGGGGAGATCTGTTTTCCAGAGGGCACCTCCTTCAAGGACACAAAGGGCAACAAGCATGCAGGAACCATGTGGGCTGGATTTGGAGCTAAAGTAACAACTTTACCTCCAAAGTGGGTCCAGTCGACAGACTTGCTGGGTAAAGGCAACCTAGGAAGAAAGTTTTGGAGTAACAAAGTTACCGGTCGTACCAAGAAAAGAACTTATTTGGACTTTTATTTGCAGCAAGGTTAGATCACTTCCTTGTGGTCAGAATTCGCAATGGCATAAGAATGTTTCAAACTCCAGGTCCACAGAGAGTTAGAGAAGCATACAGTGGATGTAACGGAAGGTGGCCCCACTGCCTACGACCTGGTCTCCAGAGTGGAGGGGGCCTCAGCCTGACCTCCACTGCACACACCACGGCCTCCGTTTCTGAGGCCAGCTCTCCAGAGAAACTGAGTAGTCAAACACACTAAGAGCCGTTTTCAACCCTGTCTGCTGAAATATACAGGGAGCACACTCTGTTGTGAAGCTACTGCCACTCAAATTTAAGGAAAAAGTAGGTAATTTACCTGAGCCTATCACACCAAATCTCATTTTAAAAAGAGAGAATTTAAATATTATTACCCCTGCCAATTTCTACCACAGCATAGTATATAAGAAGAAAAATAAAAATATTCCCTATGCACCTGTAAAATAGCTAATAAAATAAGGATGGGAAACAGTTTTTCAGCTAGATTCCTATGAAAACCTATGTGCCTCTAGGGGTTTGGAGGAGATGTCAGGCCACCTGAACTGGCACGAAATGCTGTGATTTTATCCTCCACCTAAATGAACTATGATACCAGAATAGAAATAATAATAATAATCTGCAGCTAGAGAGGGAAACGCTGTGACAAATATTCCTATATTCTTTGAAATTCCACAACCTCATTTTTACCTACAGCTTGCAGAAGGCACACATGAAAGCATTCGAGTGTCCTCAGAGAACAGAGGCGCAAAATGGCCTATATAAAAAGACTCATCTGAAATGGACTGCTAAGGAGTCATCCCAACTTAGGCGCATAGAGGTCACACACGGTTACACATGTGAAGATGCAATAGCTAAGAAGGACATCTGACAAACAGGAGAGAACCGGCTGCCTCAGTGTGGGAGTGCGAAGAATGATTCTTGTTCCCTCCTTACGCTTTTTGTACTTTACAATAAAATGGACCATTTAACACAGAAGAGAGGGCCCCAGTCCCTTACTTGTTCAGCTCCTTGCTGTGCGCGTCTGCTCCCTGCTGTATCAGTCTGTCCAGCACTTCCATTGGGGAGGTAGAGGGCACACCATCTTCCTCTGTGTTTCCTTTTGCTTTCTTTAACAGCTCCTCAGTCTTCCTGATGATAAAATGATGGGCTGTCTTTGGCAATGCCACCTCAAAAAGATGATCATACGGGGGAGGCTGCCCGCTTCCAAAGCCCCCTCTCCTCTGAGGTGGAATTTTACAAGGGCTGGGAGTGAGGATACTGGTCTCCACGGAAGTTTGGCATTCCCTGTCTCCTGCAGGGCTTTCATCAGCACCACCACAGGGCAGGTCTATGGGAGTAAAGGCTTGCTTTGGTGTATCAGGCCCAAGTTTGTCCAGGGAGGAGTGTAAAGGCTCAGGGTTCACGCTGGTGCCCTGAGCACTGGAGGCTGCTGAATGGGTCTTCCGCTGAGAACCTGAGAGACTGTCTCGGTAAAAAGGAGAGTCAAAGCCTCCTCGAGGAACCACAGGCTCGGCCTCTGCTGTGGTGATCTCAGAAAGTTCTCTTGATATTGCAGCTGAGAGGATGAGAGGAAACAAGAGAAACAGCAGTCAGTATTCCACCTGGGAAAGGCTGGACAGTTTGGGTTGCATGCTGCCACGTACCAGTGTCACTCAGAGGGGAGAGAAAAAATGGCATCCAGCTGGGCATGGTGGCTCATGCCTGTAATGCCAGAACTTTGGGAGGCTGAGGCGGAAGGATCACTTGAGCCCAGGAGATATTGACCAGCCTGGACAACATAGGGAGATCCCATCTCTACAAAAAATAAAATAAAATAAAATAATCAGCTGAGCATAGTGGTGTATGCTTGTGGTCCCAGCTACTCAGGAGGCTGAGGTGGGAGGACCTCTCGAGCCTGGGAGGTCAAGGCTGCAGTGAGCCATGATCATGCCACTGCACTCCAGCCTGGGCAACGGAGCAACACTCTATCTAAAAAAAAAAGGGGGGGGGGTGGGCAACTCTTTACCTGGCATAGGTCCCAGACTAAACCACCCATCTTGTTACTTCAAGAGAAGATAAATCAAGCAAGCCTGTGAGCACTGGTACAAAATCCCCGATTTACGGCAGAATGAGGGTCAGGTTTTATCATCTCACAGAATCCCACATGCATTACCTTCTTCTTTATCTTTTTCAATACTATCTTCTTCGGAGGCCAGATCACCTAAAAACCCTGGAAGATCACTTAGAGTGACAGAACCTTTGCTGCCAGGTGGCTCTTCTGAAGAGAAACAAAGACAACTGAAGTCAAAGAAATCCAGTGTAATCCCTCCAAGTGTAAAACTGCTTACACTGTATAGAACATGTCTGTAATAATTCTTCCTGTTGAACAGAGAAGGCTGGACATGGCTCTGCCCTGGGGATACTACAAAAGACTGAGATGTTAAAAATAATATAACTAAAAGTACCAAAAATAATCCTACAGAAAATAAAATTCTCAGTTCTTAATGTCTCTGAAAACAGAGACCAAAAGTTTAGCCAAGTCAAAATACAGGTACTTCATTACAATAGCTTAAAAGCTGTTTTTGATATTATTAGGTTGGCTTTTAGAATTCTCTACTTGTTTGATTATCTGTAGGCCTCAGTATTTTGGATATCCCAGAATTTCCTTGTCTTTTCTTAAACACATATAACCCAATTAGAAGAGGCAAGAAAGGCCTGTCGTGAGGCAGAAACTTTACCTAATCCTCTGTCATTCAGAAGATGGTGCTGTCTGTGTAGACATGGCCTTGCAGAATCCATTCGCTCTTCCTGAAAAGATACGTATCACTTGTATCACAAAGCGAAAAATGTTGCACATGTTCTCCAGCATATTGTAAAGTAAAGGTCAGCCCAGTGATTCTCAAATTGTTTGGGTGCTTTCTGTACAGTCTTAAAAATGACTGCAGGCTGGGCGTGGTGGCTCACGCCTGCACTCCCAGCACTTTGGGAGACGGAGGCCAGTGGATCCCTTGAGCTTAGGAGTTTGAGGCTAGCCTGGGCAACATGGCAAAACCCCATCTCTACAAAAAATTAAAAAATTAGCTGGGCGTGGTGACCAGTGCTTGTAGTCCCAGCTACCCAGGAGGCTGAGGTGGGAGGATCACCTGAGCCAGGGAGGTTAAGGCTGCAGTGAGCTGTGATTGTGCCACTACACTTTAACCTGGGAGACAGACACAAAATAATAATAATAAGAAGAAGATTGGAGAATCCCAAGAGCTTTTGTTTAATGAGGCATAATTATTGTATTAGAAAACTTGGAAATTTTAAAAATATGTATTAATTCCCTTAAAAACAAGTACAAGTTAATGTAAATAACATACATATTCTTATTTAAAATATATATACATTTCCCGAAATAAAAATAAATTTAGTGAGAGGAGTGGAACATTTTTGTCATCTCTTTAATATGTGGCTTTGTGAAAGATAGCTGGATTCTCATATCTACCTTTACATTCAATCTGTTGCAATGTGTTATTTTGACTGAAGTGTATAAAGAAAATCTGGGGCCCCACTGATATGTAATTGTAAAAGTAAAAATGTGTATTGTTTGTTTTTCCTTTTGAGACAGGGTCTGGCTCTGTCACCTAGGCTGGAATGCAGTGGTGTGATCATGGCTTACTGAAATCTCTGCCTCCTGGGCTCAAGCCATCCTCCTACATCAGCTTCCCGAGCAGCTGGGACTACATCTGGGTAATTTTTTTTTTTTTTTTT